AAATTCGGAGCCCGCGATGTCGATATCGTCGCCGTTGTGTTAGTACGCCCTCGCGTACTGCAGTCCCCCGTTGGGGGAGGGGGGGGGGGGGGCGGTCTTACTACGATAACATGGCGACAGCGTTTACACTCTATGTATTTACGCGAGGCTCGAGTATTTGGGGATAATGCTGCCGGTTGGTGTGCCCCTTTGTGCCTGATATTATCGCCCGTGACGCCAGCGAGTGAGATGGCGACAGGCATGACTGCTCAGTAAACAGGCGTCGGCGGCCATGTTTTGCTGGTTGAAGCGAACCCCCTTGTCCTTGACAGCGAGCGGGGAAATGCGAAAAAAAGATTGTATCGGCCGTTTTGCCAGAACTAGCGACGAGTGTCGTCTGCGGTTTCCGGCAACTATTTTGCCATAATCGTGAGCTCAGCGAGGAAATGATTTTTGCTAGCCACAGAACACTACCACGCAGAAAGGGAATGCTTGAACATGTTTTTGTTCTGGATATATATCAGGGATATATATGAGAGAGAGAGGGAGATGAAGGTAGAGCGGAAGAGGGAATAGCATATAGTGTCGCAGGAGAATAAAGTAAACAAAGTTCCTAGTGGCCGATGGCTGCATGATCTTTTCTCGGATCACTAGTCCGTAATATGATACCTCTTTGTACACAGTAGTTTCTCCTTAATTTAAGTGTGTGAACGATTTCTTTAGTTATCATTGGCCTCATCTGAATAAATATATATATAAGATGTGTGTTGGTTTCATGAAACTGGAACTCAGAGTCAGTTCTTGTATAAAACACTGCTAAGTGTAGGCTTTGAAAAAGGACCCTACTTTGGGGAGTTGTATCTTCTTTCTCAATAAAATGATGCAACATGTTTTTAATGGAAATGAATTCCGAAATAGAGTATAACAGGTTACCTAAATTTTAAAAAAATCGAGGGTGGTGTTTTTCTTTATTCGCATCGGAATTTTTCTTTGTTTGATTTTTTTTCCATGTTTGACTAAATATATCCTAACTATTGTATCACACAGATACCTTAGTTATTTTTTAAATATTAGCTATATATTAGTAGAATAATATCTGTAAATTATATCATAATGATTAAATTATTTCATGAGATACAGACCTCCAAAATTTGCCATTTGTCGTTCGAGCAGGCATGTTTGTCAATTTTTAGAAAAATAAATAAATTTTAAATAAATATGATTACTTTATATTACAAGCAAGCTATACCCATAGTTTGCGCCTAAAACGTATTAGAGTTCTCCTAATGTTATCGCTTTAGTTATTCACTCTCAAACGGGCCCCCTCCATCAGTGCGCGTTAATGCAACTGTCCACCACCTCATGCCTTACGATTTTTCCTGTCCCCAAGTATTTTTTCTAGTCAAAACTAAGTTTGGATTCGTTCATACCAGACACTAGACAATAACATATAAAAACATCAGTTGATTTGAAAATGTCGACTAGCCATCCTTTGGTCGATCTTATCTGAAATCACCCTTTGCTATCTGTGCATCCGATATATACGATTCAGATGACGGACCGAATCGCGATTTCCGTCGGCGGATCGTGTACCACGTGACCGACGCGTCAACGCTTCCTGCGATCCGCGCCTTGTCCGCGGACGTGCGGACTGATAAAGTCGAGCGCCTTTTCATTCCCGGATTTTTTGACGGGAGATTGACTTGGAAATGGCAACAATACAATGTTTTGTTGTTGCTTTTTCGGGCGATAAGAACAAAAATGGCGCATCATTGTGTTTTGTGCGCTCGCTGGTCCATTTTGTCTCGCGATTCTTGTTTCCACGCGTGGGAGAAACTCCAGAAACTTTGTCGGGCTGACGCGACGAAGCTTCCGGTACTCCTATGGGTCCGTGACAAAAAGCTTCAGTCAAAACTCATCAGGCTCGCCGCGATAATTCTTGCAGGTCCAATCAACATTTCATCGAGCAAGCCGTTTCTTCTGGCTGTGGTGTGCGTAAGTGTTGTGCACGAGCACGGATTGCGTGAAGGAATCTCCAAACGCCCGATTCCGCAAGCCCAGAACTTCGTCCCTTCTACGCCGAAGCCTTCTCGACACGGACCATGTCTCTGTCACCGTCATGCTTGGGGTTAGCAAAACTAGTGGCGCTTCGCGCGAAGCCTATCATCGTGTTCTGTCTCGACATGCACTCTAGGCCAGACTTGTACGTAACCCGTTACAAGTAGTGGATTACTTGTAATCGATGATATTTTAGTGTAATTTTGTAACGCTTCAATTACTTCCTTAAAGAGTAACGATCCTTGTAATTGAATTATTTTTTTTGTGTAATCGATAACAAAATTACTCATTACAAATTTTCTCAGATTTTTTTTTAATTTTTTAAGGGGGGGGGGGGGGGTCATATGTGCTGGAGTCACTCAGCTCTGGGCAACGGTCTTTTTTCTGTTCTTTTTCGACACACCTAAGCACAAAACCTCGAGGATTAGTAGGCCACTTCACTATGCTTCGTTTCCTGGGTACATTTATTTTTTGGTACACCGGAGACAACGTCCGGATATGAAAAATAACCTTATTCAGCCTCTTGTGAGTAATTTATTTAAGCAGCGGAATTTATTTTATTTTTATTTTTTTCTCAAGAGGGAGGTGTTCGCGTCACTCACTCAGCTCTAAGCAAAAACGGTCAAGGCTTTCTTTTTTTTCTTCGGAACAACTGAGCGCGAGACCCCATGGATTATACTATTGCAATAAAAAAATTGAATAAAAAGTAACGTGAAGTTAGATTACTTTAGAGTAATTTTTCCATTACTTCTTTGAGGTTCTAATTGCAATTGCAATCGGTTACTTTTTTTGGTGAAGTAATGGTAATTGTAACCGGTTACTTTTTTCAGTAAAGTGTACAAGTCTGATTATAGATGAAAGCGGCGCCCCGATTCTTGATCGCGGCAGCAAGCGTAGATCAAACAGCGTTGCGACGGTGCGACGTCGGCGTTTCGTGGCACTGTAGGGTGGCCAGCAGGTTCGGTTCGTCCTCGCTGGCGTCTGCTCGTCGTCTCCCTCGTGTGGATGCGCTTGGGAGACGGACGAACCGCGGACATGTCGTCCCCTGATCAATCCGTCCTCGGATCAGCCCGTCGTGTGAATCGGCCGTAAGCGCCTCGTTTTCATAAGGATATTTCTGTGCCGAGATAATATTTGATGGTGTCTCTTTGCCTGTTTCCCACATCTTGCGGGGATTTCCCATAACTCCCGAGAGTTCGTTCACGTCATTTTTACACTTTTCGTTTCAATGTTACCGTCAATTGTATTACATATCTTCCTAAGTATGCGAAGGTCACTTTCGTTTCTCGTTTCTAAAAATATTTAAAACAGCTCGTTCTCGTCCCTTATTTCATATAATTGCTCTCTTTTTTTCCACTCGCTGCCCGAACACATTCGAACGCGGACGCCGAATGCTGTATACGAGCGTTGGGCGTTCGGACGGCCAGTAAAGACAAACGGCAGGGAAGCTATGCGTCCACCCACTAATCCTTTCATCCAGGGCTCGGTGTTCTGACGTCCCCGCGCCTTCTCGTCTCCTTCTCGGCAACAATTTCTACCCATACAGTTTCGAACATTTGGAACTTTCGGCAAACCGCTACCGTGTTCCGCGTAGCGCACTACCGGAGCCTTTGAAGTTTGCTTCGTAGCGAGCGCCCCGCGGTCACATTATCACCCGGGGGCTCGCTCTTAAAAGAATGATACAAAGTTTTCGGTAGTGCGCTACGCGCAACTCGGTAACGGTTTGTTAAAGGTCCCTCTTATCTAGCTGAGTTTTCTCGCGAATATCGAGGAGTGGCATCGCCTATATGCGTGTCTGCACCGTGGTTCAAAAGTGTCAAAGCCGCTTTTGAGCCACCTTACCATGTAAGAAACAACACTTTGAAAACACATAGATATGTTCAAAAGTGTGTCCCCCCTAGGAAAACAGCACAGGCAAAAGCCGATTTTCAAGCATTACAAAAAAAGAATAGTATATCATATATCAATATGATATACTATCATATTGATAGTATATCATATAGATAGTATATAATAGTATATCAATAAAAAGAATAAATATCTAGAGAAAGGCGGCACCGACGCGAGGTAAAGCGATAATGAAAGCGACCTGGCTGCAACAGATGAACAATGTATGGCTGGAGGGACACAAGGAAATCTGATGTAAATGTATTTTAAGTGCATAACTTCGCGCGAAGTAGCAACTTTCTCAACCGGGATTCCAGCAAAAAGATTTAAATCACGTTTCGCGAATCTGCTATAAAGTCTGGAAGAGAAAAATAAACAGGGCGCTTAAAATATAATAAAAATAATAATAATCTTTATTTCCATTTAAGAAAATGGTGGAGCGAAAGGGAATTTAATAATGACATAGACCATCCATTCGATCAGTAACCGTGAGTTGAGCCGCTTTTGCCGTCAATGGCCGCACGAAAAAGCTTTTTCACGAACAGCGAGTTCAGTAATCCGATGGAAGACGCAGGCTTCTGGCAAGTACCGTAACCGACATATAGCAAAACTAAGAAGAACAAGATTGCTCTCTCGACTCCATTGCACAAGGTTCCGATCTAAAACACGGGAAGTGCCGGTCTGCAGACATTAGCGTATTAAGAATTGCACTGAACATCACTGTGCATTAAAAAATGTTAGGGCAGAGAGTGTATGAGCATGCTATCACAGGAACACGTTTCCGTTACTACGTCCGCAGCAAAGGTCTGGCGCTTCGTGAGACAGACTTAAGTCAACGGGACGTCTTCAATCCACCGTTTATGTGTGAACTCAGAACTGGGCGAAAAAGCAAGGCGACAATGACCAAGCTAAATTGAATCTGAAGCATGGCTGCATGAACTTTTCTGCCCTTAGTTTAATGCTGACTGAGGTGTCACATTGGAGTTCGCTTTCAAATGATCACACACGAATACAGAAAAAGTCCCTAATTACAGCTGACTTCAAGATTGATGACATGGTTCTGCAATTACTCGAATTTAGTTTACTTCACTGATTTCATCGTGTACTGACCTGTTGTAAGAGTTAAAAAACTCTCTTACACATCTTTTACGATCCTCATCCCTGGCACACAAGCCATTTGTCCTTACTTTTTGAGACTCCTCATGTTGTTGCATGAAGTTCAAAATAAAGCTGTCGACAAAGTGTGATACCCTGACATGTATCGCGGGCTGAACTGGGTGAGTGCAATTACCGCGTAGAGCAGAATTAATACCAGCAAGAAACCACCGCCCTTCTTTTTGGTACATCAAAGGTCCCCCGCTGTCCCCCTGAAAAGAAGAAAAAATACAATTTGTTTCACCATTCCCAAAAACGTTGAATAAATAAACCGAAGACGTTCGCACGCACAATCCCTCGAACTGAGTCAGAGAAGCAAGTTCGTGGGGCATTCCATAGCAACTGCCTTCCCGTATTTCGTAACGTTTTCTGATTCTGTTATTTCTGGATTGCATTTGCGACACTGTGGTATACAACGAAAATGAATAAATAAGAAATCACTCGCGCGCTAAATAAAATATCAGACGCGCAACTAAAACAAAATATTAGCTCAGGTCCCAGGGGCAACTAATTTTGTTTTATGCTTGCAAAGAAAAAAGGAAAATATTGCAACAATAGACCCACTTCAGCAAGCCAGCTTGACTACGCCGCTGCTGCCGCAATGCATCGAGAGAACTTTAGTTGTTTTTTTTTTCCACGTGCGACAACATCGCTGGAGGTCTGTGCGTGTAGAGCACGAGACGGCACAAGCCCTCGCACGCACGGCCGTCTGCCTCCTGCAAACTAAAGTTATGGCGACGTCACGCATGCGCCGAACGCTTGATGAGATCGGTCTATTGTTGCAAGTAGATAATGCCCCCTAGGGTGTGCAGGAATATTGCACTCGTCCGAACGTACTCACGGCCAATATTTTATTTCTTTTTGTATATAGACTTTTTTGTTCCTTCTTTTGTCAAAGACAGTGGTACGACAATATGATGAAGTGTCGTGCTAGATGCAATCGCGGTGCCGTCATTTCTTTCACCGCGGCAGCACTGGCACCACAACTCCGGGAAAGAGAAATACCAGAACGGAAACGATGAAAGAGTCGCGCCGCACTCTAACTTCCTCCGAAACGGCCTTATTCAAAAAGCGCACCAAATTAAACAAAATAAAAAAATAAAAACAAAAACGCGCGCCCGGCAAGAACGCTGAAAGCCCGGAGCTCGCTCGTTTAGCGCGTGTTAGGCGTAGAGCCCGCCGCTGGCGCTCTACCCTTAGTACGTGAGGTGACCTGTGTAGGGTGACCACCTTCCTGCCAGCGAAATGCGGGACGCGCAATAGGGAGGGGGGGGGGGGGGGGGTAGAGGAAATTTATTAACAACGCACCACGAACCCATGCTCGGTTAGCACATTTAATAACCTGTGCACTTTACACACCTGCTAATTGTATTGCGGCAATTAAGCTCAATTAATTTTCACTCCCAGTGATATATCTTTTATGCCAAATGTGTTATTAATGTGTCGAAGTTGAAAATACAAAAATCGACTGTAGCAGAACTCAATGAATCAAACGGAAATGAGAAACAGTAAATCTTTTTCGGGTTATTGTTTCCTGTCAGCGCTTACATTTATCAACATGGTCCTACACAAATTTTTAACATTATATTCTTTTTCGACCGTTGCGGGTTGTAGGCTTTTTGCCCTGTATGGCTGTCTTCACTAAAACAAAAATCCACAGCAACCCTTTCGCATTGACAGAGTGAATTAAAAATAATTACACTATTTTATATTGAAACTTCTGGTGAGCAATTCTTCATAGAATATTTTGCCAAGGGGAGAGGCACAACGGAGCATGCGCGTCGGTTCTCCTGCAAAAATGACGGTTGCTTCCTACAATGCTTGGATAGGAAATGGTGTACCATTGCGATTCACACGTTAACCAGCGACATCCGCGCTTCCCCGTGCTCCGTTGTTTGGCAGCGCCATGAGTTGCAGAGTGAATTTTACTACAGTATGAAATGTAGGACATTTTGAACATTTGACAATTTCTTGCGGAACGCGGGACACGAGCCCTCAATGCGGGACAGTCGCGCGAGTCGCGGGACGGGTGGTCACCCTAGACCTGTGGGAGTCACTCGGACCTACTGAAGTAAGACGCTCAGGTAGCAGTCGTGCCCAACCGCTGAGACGAATGGAGCGTCCGCGTATTGTTGGCATTCGAGTTTCCTTCAGTCATTCCGAGAATCCGAAACCAGTTAGGTACGAGACATAAAAGACATCTAGGGGTTAAACAACATCTCTAGATGTCTAGTTTGCAATCAAACATATTCGTTTCTGCATATAAAGCGTTACACATTTAAGTTTGCTCAGCTTACGTGGTTACATTAACGGACCATGAGTATTTTACGTAAACGTTGTTAAATTCAGATACGGCGTATCTTGCTCGCTTTAACGCAACATTTACGTTCCAGATGATTACACTGTAGAGTGTGCTTTGTTTGTCGCTAAAAAATGTCTTCAAATCAATGGGTAGCTTCGAGCTCAGCCTCAATTTTAAGATTTTGTAGAACTATTTTGAATCAATTTCACGGTTAAACACTAGTCTAAAATAAACACTGCAACTTTATTTGTCAACATCTGCAACGCGAAATTTAGACTGTGCAAGGTTTTAAACTTTGAAGTTACATTTTCAAAAAATGCTTGCTTAGGTTGCCAGGATTGACTTATAGCAATGGCTTTTGACTGTCACTGTGAGAACGTCTTCTTGATGCAACTCAAATAATTATGTAGTCAGCTGCCAGCTTGTTTATAAACGGATCTGCGAAATAGCGTCCTCCTAAACTACCTATATTAGAAGCAAATAAGAAAGGCAATTGTTAAAGTTGAAAACTGAACAGGAAGTCCTCGTTTCTTTTTCCTTTTTCCGTGAAACAAAAAATGAAGTGGCGCGAGTTCCAGGTGCGACATGCACTTTCCGAAGCGTTCAATAAAAGTTGTGATATTTACTTTTCAAACGCGAGCTCTCACAAACAATCTTGCTTCCAGCAGAAAACTGAGAAGTTATCGTCCTTCTTAGAGAAGTCTGGATTTTGATTTAAACTGCACATATTTTGATATCCAGGATAAAATTCTTTTGAATATGCAACTTTTCAAATGTCAAGTTAATCTTGCAATATTCCAGTTAGAAATGCATAATTAAATGCAATAATTCAGTTAGAAATCCATAATCGTACATCGTGTAATTTTTGTTATATTTTGTTATAGACCAAAACAGAGACGAAAAAATGGTATTTGCTCTTGTTTGCAAGAAAATGTGTCAAAATAATTTCTACTCACTAGGGCTGGGCAATTGATCGATTAACCTTCCGATTAATCGATTAAGGGCTTAATCGCGATAAAATGTTTTAACCGGTTAATCGGTTTTTAATCGGTACTCAAAAAGAAGTCAACTGGACGTACGCATGGCTTTATCCTGGACGGCCTGCCCAAACTAGGGGTGCGTGGCGAGTATCCGGTCGTTCTGTCCCAAGCGGTTTTCCGTGCCCAGCCAGGTGCCATGAGCAAGGTTCGATTCTCGCGCTCACAAAGCGTCACATGTTCGAGGATATGCATTGCAGTTCTGCCGAGGCCAGACGAACAAGCCGGGCCCGCAATTGATTCCCGGGTGATCGCGAACCTTCACGTGTTGAGGATCTCTTACACATCCTGCCCAGGCAAGACAAACAAGCAGAAAAGCAAGCTGGGAAGCTAACAACGCCATGGTTACTTGTTCCAGTATTCGGCCCGTAAAAATGGACGAGTACACAAGTATAAAAGTCACACTCGCTGGAAAGTTTGGGTTTAAAATAACCTCCATCGGTGAAGTTTTTAACTCGAAGGAAGTCCACTGCCTCATCTACAAAAAGCCGTTTTCGTGCAGTGGAAGCGTAAGTTCGCTTCAGTATAACCAACGAGCGAAGCACCCATGTACGCCGCTGCAACATGGATGATCCGCCAAAACGCGGATAACAATGAACGCCTTCTTATTGAGGCCTCTTTCTCTGAAAAAAAGAAGAAAGCATCGCCCAAGCCCCGACTTCTTGTCTTCCTGTCGGAGAATGTGGACAAACTTCTTTGTCTTCGGAGCTGGAGCAAACATATGTGAGTCTTTGAATCGTTGAACTATACGTATCCTCAATTCTAAACGTCCTTTGCGCCGTGTAACAGAGAGGGAAATAAGCCTTCAAAGGCAAGACGAGTCGTTGCATTATTTTAATATAGTATTTATAAAAATTAACGCAACCGATTAATCGATTAATTAATCGATTAAAGGGTGGCGATTAATCGGGTTAAAATTTTTAATCGACGCCCAGCCCTACTACTCACATAACATATTCCACCAGCGGAGCAAAGGATGTAATTTGGAACACTTTTTTCAAGCTGACGTGTGCATTCCTTATTAGTAAGAGTGGATATATTTCTTGCCATCAACATGTCTGGGTCATAATATGACAGAATGCTATCTGCTTCCGACTCTGAGGTGCCGTACGTTTCATTCTCTGTTGGATTTTCTGAATATTCGTACAAATATTCAGCCGTTGTGTCTGTTGTTTCATCAGAAGTCTCGTTAGAAAAGGTATAGTCGTCTGAAAATATTTAAAACATTTTGGTTATTATTAGGTATACGCATCATTCAGAGATTTTACATGTTATTTGGTGGCATTTAGTTGATCAGTAATTGTTTACTTGGATCAGATGTGAAGCTCTCAAAATTTAAAATATTCTTATTTATACTAATGAGACAATACATTTGTATTACAAAAACTTCCGTGATTGTTTTCTCTTTAGCCATACAGGAACAATGCACGTAATTAAAATATGATTATTAATGTGTTTTTTTTTTTGGCATGCATAAAAATATTTGGCTGCTAGTGGTGGAACGCACGTTAATAATGTATTACCGATATCAGCTTGATAAATACTATGCGTAATATTAAAGTTTTGTACTTAATATTTACTATGGGTGTTTACTTTGACCTCACGATTATAGTCGAAGCACAACATAACGGCATGGCATAATTTTTTTTCGGCAATCAGCTTGAGCTTTTTTGAGTCAGCTGTACAAGGCAATTATTTACGTTTGGATCTCGCAGGGCGCACTTAGCAACGAGTCACTGCTAAACTCTTAAAAAGTTTCGTATCGACGATGATAATGCCTCTGAAAACCTCAAAGAATGTTTAACTATCATCAAAGTGTCTATATATATATATATATATATATATATATATATATATATATATATATATATATATATATATATATACTATATATATATATATATATATACACTTATATATGTGCAGGGTGTTTTTTTAAGCTTAGCAGATTTATTTAAAAAAAGCCGTGAACGTTACGCTTATACCGCTTGTGAAGGTGAGTTATACTGCCAGGGGGACATATTATGCGGGACTAATCGTAACGATCAGTCGGCTAATTATTTAAAATTCGTTAATTAACTTTTTAATTAGTGAAAATAGACATATGGTTCCAATTAGAAACTTGCTCAGCGTCATCGAAAACCACTAAATCAGTAATTTCAGAAAGACTTTGAGCGCGTGAGAAACGTAGCAGTGCACTAAAGTTACCACTCGTGGAGCAGGTACAAAGCTAGCGGTTGCGATAAGGCGCCCGCGCGATTTTTCCGTCTCTTATCTAGCCCCAGCCTTGTACCTGCTCCACGAGTGGTAACTTCAGTAGAATACAACGCTTCTCACGGGCCAAAAGTCTTTCTGAAAATGACTGATTTAGTGCTTTTCGATGACGCTGAACAAGTTTTTAATTGGAACTATATGTCTATTTTCATTAATTAAAAACTTAATTAACGAATTTTAATCAATTATCCGACTGATCGTTACGATTAGCCCCCTATAATATGTACCCCTGGCCGTATAACTCACCTTCACAAGCGGTATAAGTGTAACTTTCTTGGCTTTTTTTTAAACAAATCTGTTAAGCTTAAAAAAAAAAAAAAAACTGTATATATATATATATATATAAATCCGTCGACGAAATTGAGTTATTCGGTTGGTTCATACAAATAATTTCGCGGGATCAGTTCTTATAACTACGCACATACCTGCGTGTTTTGCGTGTATTTTGTAATTTGCTATGGCATACAAACGTATTATTAGAAAAGTTTACAGAAATTAACCAGTTTATTAACAGTGAAAATAAATTCGCATCACATTTTTCTTGTGTGTTTTTTAAAATACGAAATTTCGGAACATCGTCGATGATTATCTAAAAATATATTGAAAACATTTTTTTTAATAATGTATCGGGAACTAGCAAGTGTCTAACTAGCACGCCGACTGCGAGAAATGGTTTAAGGAAGTAGGCAGTGGCAGTAGCACCCGGTTCTTTTTCGCTTTTGAGTTTCCATAGTTTGTCGCCGTCTGACGTTAAGTTAGACCACCATAGAGTTTGCTTCTTTCAATGGCTATAGTTTCATCGCCTTTTTTTTAATCTTTACCCATATTCGCAACTCGCTTAGGATATTGATAGATGGAACAGGATGAGGTGAGAAAACAATTTACCATAAACTCTGCCCCAGCCAACACCATACATGCTAACATCTGAAGGCGTTTCTTCGCAGTTTGACGGAAGGCAGATTGGCTGAATGTGTTTTGTAAAATTGACAGGTCTTTTTAATTTTAATAGTGCAAGGTCTATCTGTAAGAAAAAAGAGCAGTTTAAACAAAACATACTTTGAGCTTTTTTTTAAAATAAAAAAGGTATACGTACCATGAACTCCGTACAGTTGTTGCCCTGGACGGGGATACAGACGTCCTCAACCTCCACGCAAATGACCTTGTCTTCCGGCTCCTCATGCCTGACTGCTGTGTCACTTAGTTCTAGATTCTGACTTTTCTCTACGTTTCGGTGACAATCTACAGTGAAATTCGTTCGGTTCGTACTTCCCAGACGAACGGAAAGAAAGCCCGTACTGTTCTTGTCTCTGGAAGCATCAATGGGAAGGAGGAAAAATTATATTTGGCCTTAAAGTTGTGAAGTTTACGTCAAAACAAAAAAAGTGTATTCAATCAGAGTGACTCGTGGAAGAAACGTCTTAGCAGTTCGAGTTCGGCGACGTGTTATATTCGGGTCATGATAAGTATAAAACCAAACCAAAATACCTACGACTTCTATACGCAGCGTTGCACCGAAAGCTGAAACTCAATAGAATACTGCGGCAGTGCTTATATTAAGCGTCACAATGTTATCATATGCAAAATAAAAAGGTTTTGGGTCGGTGGTTTAGGTGCAGTCAATAAAAAACAGAAATTGAAATTGCGATTTTCGATAAGAATTGGTTTCGCCGTGGGCACGTGATCGCTTACTCCACTTAACAGGAGCGAGGCACCTGCGAGAAATCCCTGCAGTAGCGGTGAAACTATTATGGTAATCTATGCCGTATAGCTTTTCCGTCTCGCTTACAAGCCTTACATATTCGCCGCGTTATCCACGCTAAATCATCAACATCATCATTTATTTTACTTTAGTATCCGCTAGCGGCATTACCCAAGGGAAGGCGCATGCTTGTAAATGAATAAATATAGACACAATGGGCACAACATTAACGCCATACTAAACTCTGTAATACGATTTGAGGAATCACAGAGGAGAGGGTCAGTAGCTGCTGCATGAGAGCCATTTTGTCAGGTAGTGCATAGCCCTTTTCATTGCCAACGGTAATGTTGAAATTTGATAAGTGAATAGTGCACAAAAATATTCAGTCTAAAGTTCTCCACCACGTAGAGATTGTGACGCATATACTCAGCACGCCGTTGTTAAAATGTGGGTCTCTCTGAATCAGTGTTTTAAGAGCCCAGTCACTGTTTATTTAAAGCAACCATACGCTGCCATTTTACATAAAATGTATTTAGGAATAGAGTTTTAGTTTATATGTCCTTAACAATTCTAACGCAAAAAAAAAAAATTTCCGCACTAATTATATCGGATTTACATTCCATCAAATTTAACGGAATTTAGTTTCCCGGAACATTATCGGAACACCAGCGTTAAGGAGTTTTCGTAGATCGGTTCTGCCGTCCTGCAACACGATTTGCAACCCGCTACGGCACGCGGAACTCTACAGCCAAGGCCATCGGCGCGCAGGCGCAGTAGCGGCTTCTTCGTTGCGAAGGGCGAGGGGGGGACGCGGACTGCGAAAACTCCATATTGTCGCACTTAACTTCGCTAAAGTTAGCAAAATATAGCGGCTCAGCTTACAAAAAACTCGTACATAAAAACCCAGCGCTGAATAATAAGAATTTTGTCGTGAAAATGTTTCAAGGAATTTATGTTATAACACCCAGTGCTTCAGAATCGTTAAGCATGACTGTGTTTAACTTCGCGTGTTAAAATTCATGATGACGTATATAAATACGTATTTCAATGTCCCGATTTACGCATAATTATGTCTTTACCCTACTGAAAAATCCGGTATAACTTTTCGCTATCCGGATTATGGAACCGGAAATTTGTTACTGGAAACCCGAAATCCAGATTGCAGACAAAGGAAAAATTTCTGAAAACCTAAATTCCAGATAGAGTCCAGATAGATTTCCGGTTCCATAATCCGGATAGCGAAAAGTTATACCGGATTTTTCGGTAGGGTAGCGAACGAACAACCATCCGAGAGCTTCGCGGGGTTGGCTCTGCTCCATTAACAAACTTAGAAATACGTTGATTTGCAGTCCCCTGTAAAACAAAGTTATGTAGGTAAATTGTTTTGTCAACAAATTAATTTTGCCCACAATTCGGAACACCTAAATAAAGAATAGAAAGTAATAGGATAGCGTGTTGGTTGAACATTTTGAAACGGTTTTCAACGCAAGTATGTACAAAGAACAAACAAGGAGAAACACGACAGACACGGCCGGCGTTCGACTTACAACAACTTTACTTCCGCCACTTCGGCATGGGCTTCCCAACTCGTCTTCCCCGAAGGCTAGATTGCACCCCTTTCTCCGACATATTGCTGCGTGCATCATCGAGAAGATACAATTCTCCCTTCATTTAGGAGATTTGCGTACACTGTTTCCCCGAGCGTAAACGATAAGAAGCCCAGAATGACCTTGCCTAGTCAGTGTCGACCTAGCGCTTTTCCGAACATTCTAGGTAGAATATTTGATACGACGAGCATAGTAGTCAAAGTGCCAAGCGCCGTATTGCCGCTTCATTCACTGATTCCCTAGCAATATTCAACTTTTAGGTTGACGTACCGTCGCTTGCTGCTACCACCGTTCAACGCCAGCTGCTGCTGTTTCGACGTGTGTTGTTCTTTTTCGATTCTGGCACAAGTTCGTCCCCAGTAAATCTTTAGTTCATTCTGTTTTCTTCCACCTTATTATTTTAGGGGAACGGAGAAGCAAGCCTAGTAAAACAATGTCAGCGCAAAGACAAGATAAAATTTGTGAAATGTAAGAATAACGCACTATATTACATCCCACTTTCAGGTTAAAAACGTATTTAGAACAAACGCGACACTGACACTGTTTAAATGAACACTTAAAAGAACATAAATACAAACAACGATCACCGGGGAGCGTCGTGAAAAGCACACGTCTATTATTGAGGGGTGGGGGTGGTGTCAGCCAATCCTTGAAGGCACGGTAGCAGTAAATAGACAGTGAAAGGCTGAACAAAGAGGTAATTGGAGCCTTTGCTTATCAGAGAAGTGGCGACAACATAAACCAAAAATTGTTGCACTTGACAGACGAAGAAGAGAAATTTCTGGAGGCAGAACTCGAGAAATATGTCGGAGAGACGGGATCCATATAGCCCTCGGAGAAGACAAGTTGGGAAGACCACGCCGAACTGGTGGATGTAAAGTGGCTGTGAGTCGAACGCCGTAGGTATCTGTCGTGTACCTGCTTGTTCGTCATTTTCCATCCGTGCGTTCAAAACCCTTCCAATAAATAAAGCAGTCATCATTACTTTTTATATTCCACAGCATCACCTTTCGAATGAGAGTATGCGCTTTAAGGAGCTGTATACTGGGATGCAACGTGATCTATTCGATGTCTGATAAAGCTGGCATATTACACATATTACGACACCGAACTACGAAAGACACCTGTGTGGGAGGTTTGTGTTTTAGTTTTGGAGCTACCAACATGTGACTTAGAAGTCGCACAGTGCAAATATCAGTAAACCCGGACTACCTCCAGAGTAAGTGGATATGACTCGCGGAAACAGAGCCAAAGTACCGAGATGAAACGGGACCCTGCAACCCAAGGTGTTTCCCTTCCTAATCCTTAAAAAAAAAGCATATCATAACCTCCTAAAACATGTACTTTCTTGCACAACACCTGAAAGAGCCAATCACTGCAATGCACGGAAAGCAAACAGCAGGAGATACAGATTTTTTTTAATATATCGGCACTAAGACACTGAGCACAAAGTTTCACGTGCTTGCAGCCATTGGTTCTCCGAAGTTCTCTACATGAATGTAGACGCACCAGAATTCGTAGAGGGAAGCTTAAGCGTTAGAGATTAATTTTATAAAAAGTCAAGGCTGTCTTGTTGATTTTTATAGCGGGAATAAGCTTGGTGATCTGCGGGTGTAGATCAACGTGGGCGCCGTTGCCAATGTCACATATAGATTGTGCAAGAAATGCGTAGTAGAGGAAATATTCGGCTTCGACAGCGTCTTAATAACCGCCGAAGGCGCGGAGGGCAGTAAACCCTGGTAAGACGCCAGACAAAAACCTTACATAGCACAAATTGGCAATGATACGCGCCTAACTTTGGCCATAAGATCTTTCTCCAAGGCTTTAGTTAGCTTCACAGAGCTTATTTTCAGCTTTTCTCTGGCTCGCAACATTATTGCCGAAGTGCCATGTTTGAACCAAAGATGTCAAGTATGAGCTGATTGGATCAAGCAGTGAAATCTAAATCTGGCACTTCTTTGTCAATGTACGCCTTAAGTTGCAGTATAGAGACCCAACAAACAGGTGTGGAGCATAACACGGGCACTTGATTTGCTATACAGGCCAACACGTGCCAGATGGCAGGCAAATTACCAGCAGCGAAGCCTGACTTTGGCCCTTTTATGGCGAATTAAAACCAATATACCCAAACGCTTGCCAATGGGGCCACATTTGCATGTACCTTGAATGCTACAGGCCTTGTGAGGCCCTAAATTATCACACACAATCCCTATTCTAGCCACAAAAAAAGAAGACTGCGCAATTTGAGAAGTTTTTTGAAACAGCGATTTTTGTAAAAACGTGGCTTTTCTAGTTACATTGTATTGATGCTTATTACTGAAAATATTGCAGAGGAGAAGACTCGACACTCCTACATTGGGTGTTTTAGATGACTTCACTTCTTGCACGAACGTGAGCGCGCACAGGCTGTGTAGGCTTCACCAAGGAAATCACACGCATACTGGTTATTTAAAATGTTTTACAGACATCACCTACGGCCGAGAAGTGCTCCATAAACGTATACGTATTTGCAGCCCCCCAAACTTTTGTGGATCATCTCTGCACCTCGGCAACAGCTCGACTTTTATGAACCACCATCGGAAAATCACCAAACCAAATGGGGATCCTAAAGCATAATTGTTTGTTGTTAAAAACAAATAAATATACACATACTTATAACAATGAGCAGCAGTCAACACATACTGGCTGCTTATTAAAACGCCAGCACAATATAATGTGTCATTAGAAGTATACAGCCCCACCACCCACGGCCAGTGGCCAGGATGTGCTGCGGTACCATTAACGATTCGTTCTGATACAATATCTTGTTGCTGACGCCGTCCACAGTCGATTTCCAGGGTACCATTGTCTGTTGGCTCCGTGATTGAAATTCCTGTAAATATTGTTTTTGTGTATAAGCGTTCTAATGCCAGAAATTTCAAGTTAGTACGCAAACAAAGAATCTTCGAAATGAACAAGTATTATATGCTTTGTTCTTCTCTTCGGAAAAGGTGGCTGACCACATTAGGGTTGTTTCGAACAGGACCACCGGGGATGAGTAGGTTGAAAGTATACAAAATATTCGTTTTCCTTATAATAAAAAGTTCAGCATATCGATTTGATTTAAAATGGCCCTATGCATTGCACGCTATCCTCATTTGTCTTCATCCGGGTATCTCGAGCAGACCCCGCTTTGATGTTGATGTTGATTACGTACTCAAAAATACCATGAAAATCTTGACATTGGGCCCGTTCAGTTAACGCGCTCGAGCGCGCTCCAGCGGTCAGAGTGCACTCGAGCTAAACTAAACGGCATCATCTCACTTCCGGTGCACGGTGGCGAAACGCGCTCCGCGAGCTCCGTCGTCGGAGGTGGTGTGCGAGAGCTCGAACAGATTGGTTTCCGGTGAGATGACGGCGTTTCCGCTCTCGCGGCCAGTCTCGCGGTTACTCGCGGTGGTTTCACACCTTTCACACGGTAATGCGGTGGTCTCGCACGAGACGGAAGAATCATCAAAACCCAAGCGTTTTGGGCTCCGGGCCGGGCCGCCGGGCCACACTGGACCAGAGGCATCGGGTGTGTGCAATCCCTGGCAAGCGAGGTTGCTTCCGAACGCTTCGAGGATGCCACCGTGCTCGCCTCGCCAAACCTCGCCGACCGCGACCGCACCAACCGAACCCCGCGCCCGAAAGGCTCCGGCCTAGCCAGGAACGGCACCGAGGTAGGCCGGTCGTGGGGAGCTGCTCGTTCTGCGCTACCATGCAGTGCTCGGAGCTCTCGGCGTCGTTCGTGCTTGCGCCGAAGCCTTTAGGGACTCCCTCGGATGCGCAAGTCGCGCCTGCTTGGATGCGTGGATACTTCGACGGCGATCGCTTGGCAGCTCGTGCAATCGTTCAGTCATCGTGAAAAAAAAAAAAACAAAAAAACATTGTGCTGGTGTAGAGAGGTATGCATACATCCTTCAAATGCTTGTCAAAGTTCTTCATGTACCTTACCGCAATTTCAGGATCAGGCGAGCCAATAAATTCGGCCATTCAGCCGTAATTCTTTAATTGGGAATTTAGAAGGCGTTCGGCGTAGCTTTAATCGCCGCACGAACAGCGTGCAACGCAAATACAAGCTCTTGCTGTTGCCGCCGTCTTTGCGCAGTTATTTCATCGAAGTCGTCGTCGAAAAAACACTTCTTCGACGCTTCGACGAGACGGGAGCCATGTTTAAGCGCGCGCCGGAAAGCCGGAACCGGAATCGTTAAAAAGGCGTCAGATGGCGCCTCGGTACCAAAGTGCGCTGTTAAGCTGCGCTCCGAACCAGCGCGCTCGAGCGCAGATGTCCGGAGTCTGGAACTCACTAACTTAACGCGCCCATTTGTGCACAGCAGAAGTCTCTTCTCCTATAAATTAACATACTAAACATAAAACATGAAACACATATCGCCTCTAAGGGAGACTAAGTCATATTAACACATATATAAGTACATTCGGCTATTCAAAGGGGAAATAAGTGACAGAAAATAAATTGTTATGAACACGTGGCTGTTGAAAAAATCTTAGTTTGATGTAATGGGTATCCTTCAATTTGCTTGGGGGAATAAAACCCTCCGCAATGTGGCGTGAATTTAGCTGGAATACGTAGATTATGCTGCCCAAAAGATCCGCTACATCAGTGTGACCTTGGATGAGTGTCTGAAAAAATACTTTTTCTCGACGATTCCTATGGTCACATAAAGTGCTGAGATTAAAAACTTTAACAAGACAATGGTATTCGAAGTTTAGTCTTCTGTGAAAATCCCTATCATATGCAATGCGAAACAAGTGCCTTTGTACCGCTTCAAGGCGCTAACATTCACCTTCCGATTAATGGCTCCACATGACAGAAGAAAATTTAAGTCGTTGCCTAATCAATACGGAAAATAAATTTAACATAGCTTCAGGCGCTCGAAAATGCCGAGGCATATGTGAAATAATGCCGAGCAATTTAATACCGGTACTACAAAAATTTGTGCCATGAGATTTGAACGTTAGTTGGCAATCGACTAACACCTCAAGGCCCTTATCACATCAGCTCTAGTAATAGTACTATTTTCCAAGTTACTAAATTTCAAGGGATCTCTAGGCCTTAAAAGTGAGACAACTTTTGTTTTGCCGCGTTTAATGGCAATCGGTTTAACGCGCACCATTTTGAATTATTCAAAATGTCAGACTGCAGTGTTTCGCAGTCTGTTTCGAAAGAAGCATCTCATAATAACTTTTTGTCATCTGCATATAGGAGCACCCTATACTCCGTCACCCTTACCTTAAGCTGAGACTCCAGATAGTGCCACAAGCACGAGAGCTAAAGGTCGCGACTTTGAAGCGCTCTTCCGGAGAACGAGCACTCGAGCTAGAAATGCATGTCTCAAAGCCAGAGACGCAGGCTAGATTACCCTTGTAGCTTTGACTCCAGTCTCAGCTTATCGGTGAACAAAGTATAGCAAATTTTATGCGATTTGAAACGTCATTTAGAGCTAAAAGTAGAAGAGACCCGATGCATATCCCTGAGGGACTCATGAAGTTAAAAAGAAAACGCACTTAACAATACATTTTCAACACGAACATTGCGTTTTCCTCGATGACTGATCACTTAAAACCCATCGCGTCGGTGTAATACTATATTCGCAAAAGTTTTGTACAAGCACACAATTATCAATATTATTGAAAGCCGTAGGAAGATCGAAATAAATTGAGTCATAATGAGCTTAATGAAACAACCGGGGCTGCGTAGACTTGAAATTAACAAAGGTTATTCTCAACCGAATGTCGCCTAATAAGACCATGCTGTTGCGAAAACAGGTTCAAAAACAAAATTTAACGCTAATTTTTTCCTCGTTAGATGTCTAGTCATAGACCCCGTTTCATCTGCAACCCCATTAACATTAATTATTTATTCTGAAATACTCGAACCGCAATTTAAAATGAATAAAACGATTGCTGAATCCTACCCGCTATACGTAGGCTGGCGAAGCCTCATTGGAATGTCATGGCGTTAGTTTCCCGACACCAGCGCCAGGCCTCGGAAGTACGGCTCACCCGTAGAAACGGCCTGGGGTTGAAAGCAATCGCAAAGCATTGGCGGAGAAAGCCAATGAAGAGTTGCCCACTTTAGGGTTACTCAATGATTTTTTTGTTTAGGATTATGGTGTCCAATCTGGGAAGTCGAGGAGGACGACGGCGCGCGAGGGGGCAGAAGCAGTGGCCGGCGGCCCGGCGCTCGTGACACCGCCACGAGCAGTTCGGAGCGAGACACAGGCAAGGACGGCAGCAGCAGAACGACACCAGGACGATTGGGTGGACACCGAGACCAACGGCCGGGCAACACAGCGCCACGAACAGTAGAATGTTTTTGAACATATCCTTTAACGTGTGACTTCTTGGGAGAGCGGACCAGGCGGGTACCTTTTGGGCAGCAGTTTGATAGAGCGACCCACACAATTGGCGCTTCCAACGTGGGACCCGATTGGTCTGCTGCTTGTTCCGTTCGTCCCGGGAAGTCACACAGATCTATTGAGCGTTCAGCGTGGTATAGAAGGGTAAACGCTAACGATGCCTCCCAAGACGAGGTCGACCACCAATAGGGTCAAGGACGACTCGTCTGAGAGTGGAACTCAGGAACTGTCTGACGCTGCAGAAGCCGGAAACGGCTCTTAGTACGCGAGCATCTCCAGATGCGGGGATTTTACCACCAGCTCTAGCTGGAGGCGCGGCAGAATTCGGCGAGTTTATGCGCCCATGATGGCGATGATGGAGACGTTCTCGCGACAAATCGCGACGGCTCCAGGAGTCGCGATTGCCGCCCCGACGTCTCTGCCCCGACCGCGGTTGTCCGTAGCGACGCCGACCTACGCGGGATATTCCGACGGAAAATGGGCCCGCGATTTCTGGCAGGACTCGGACGCGTATGTAGCCGCGTTGCGAGCATCAGAAGAAACGGCCTTGGTGCAGATCGTACCGATCGCGTTAACGGGCAACGCGTGGCATTGGAGACTGTTGCAACGATCGTTTCTATCGATGGCGGACTTTCGGACTTGGTTTAGGGAGGAATTTTTCCCCTGATTATGAGATGCGCATTAGGGACGAGCTAGCCAATCGCACTCTGCACCGCAACGAGAGCCTCCTCGAGTACGTTCGCACGCTTCAGGAGCTCTACTCGAGGGCCGAACCATCCGCGTCTGACGCAGAAAATGTAGCTGGAGCGATACGGCAATGTGACCCTAGATTTAAAGCCTACTTGCGCGGACGGGATTTCGCGGATCTGGAGGCAGTTGCCAGAGAGGCACGAACGGTCCAAGCGTGCTTGCTCGCTGAGCTGCAGTACCACCCCCTCCGAGGGCCGAGGAGTCTAACAATTAATCCAAAGAAGGCGAAGGTGGCCGCCTCAAAGGTAAATATTTTTGGCTTTGTCCTAGACAACGGTACCTTGAAGCTGAACGATGATAAATTGAGGGCCATTCTCGATTATCCACCACCGCACGATGTAAAGAGCCTTCAAAGGTTTCTGGGGATGGTTGGCTTTTACCGGCAGTTCATCCCGATGTGCGCGGAGCTTGCGCAGCCATTGAATCTGCTGCTCCGGAAAGGCTCGAGCTGGGTCTGCAGGGTCCAGAGCAGGGGGCTGCCTTCTATTCTTTCGCGAGAGCAGTAGCAAACACCTCTAGCCTTCGCTTACCAGATCTTAATCGGCATTTCGTTGTGCAGACAGATGCGAGCGACTACGGTGTTGGAGCAATATTGTTACAGGAGCACGATGGACGGTTACGCCCTGTGGCATTCGCTAGTCGAACGCTCACACCGCCGGAACGCAACTACAGCGTGACGGAAAAGTATGGGTTGGCCGTCATGTTTGCTCTGAAGAAGTTC